AAAAAATATACAAACATTGCCTAAATGTTTGTTTTTTTACTGCTGCGTTTTCGTAAAATATTTCACTTTTTGCATACGTTTAGCTCCACTTATTAAATACTCATCCATTCAAAGCTTCCCAGTTTATATTTCTAGGATTTTTATGTGTTTTGCCTGTTAATATGTTTTTACCGCACATTGAGGTAGGAGAAATGGCATTTCACTCATTGTATGGTTGTCCCGGACCAGTTACCAAGAAGGTAAAGTTCATTAAAATACACACTTATAAATAATTGCCCCGATAATTCTCCAGAGCAAGATTAATATAAGTAAATAAAACTAAACAGAAACTTAAAACTAGCTGTAAACTAAAAATGTTTTTATTAACTGAAATAAATATAAAAAGTAGAATTTTGGGAAAGATGAAAATGATACTGCATCCTTACAAAACAAAATAAAAATGCTAAGGAAATGTCATGAATTTTTGGTCTTTGTGACTTTGGTTAAATCTTGTTATCAGGCACCAGCCTGATTAGGGTTGATTGAGACTTTATATATGTATATAACTGAGAGGCTTAAATCTGCCCCTTACAAACACTCCAGTCTGGGTCTTCATATCAGGTACACAGAACCTTAGATGAATAATGACAAATTTGCCAAAATAAAGAAGCAGTATGTGGACAGACTTAGATACACCATTACTGCTTCCATATTATCTCAATACAGCTCTTCTCTCTCAGACTTTTAGGCTTACTTGTGGTTCCTCAGATACTTAAAAGTAGAATGGGAGGCAGAGGATTCAGGAGACAGACCCCTCTCTGCCTTTATAACTAGCCTTAAAACTTTCCCTTTTTGAAAAAGCATATAGTTAAAACTGGATCAGGTGACCCTCAACCCTAGGCCGCTGGGGGGTTCCTATGGTACGTTGTTCTTCACTCACCTCTTTTCACTCTCTATGTATAGGGGTGGCTGTAGCTCAGGTGGTAGAGCAGCTCTCCTACTACTTGGAAGGTTACATAGAAAGAGCATAGAAAGAAATGGGCGAATGAGGCAAGTTGTGTAACACTCTTAAAATGATCAGATAGTGGCAAAGAAGTTCTACAAGATCCATTCCTCAGTTAGCATGGTAAATGTAAAAATTCATAACAGTATGTGCTGCTAGGAGAAAGTTGAAAATGTTGAAAAAAGTGGAGATGTCTGAACACAGCAGGACGTTTGGATTTCTCCAAACACCTTATATCAAACATGGTGATGATTGGTGCTTGTTTAGCAGTCACTTAGTCAACCATAAACCTCTGTTTACCAAAGTACTCTAGGGTCTAATGTGAAGTCATAAATAAAGCTTGGCTGAAATTGGGTCATGCAACATGACAATGATCCAAAGCACAAAACCTACAACATAATACCTGACCTCAACCCAATTAAAATGTCTGAAATTGTAAGGAGTGGGCCAAAATTCCTCCATTATGCTTTGAGAAACTGATAAACTCATACAGATCATGATTACTTTAAGTTATTTCACACTTGCTAAAGGCAGTTCTACAATCACACGCTACTTTTGGATTTTAGTTTTTGACATTAACCTCCTAGGACCCGGAGTCCACATATGTGGACATCACATTTTAGGATGTCTAGACCAAAATACTTAATTTTCCTCTACAAGGGCCTGATATCCACATACAAGGACATTATGCTGGCACTGTTCTATCAAAATTTAAAATAAATGTCCTCATATGTGGATCTCATTTTTTAGGAACAAAATTTGGTAAAAAAAAAAAAAAATCTGGTAATTCTTTGTTTTTACATTCATCAAGTCCCAATCAGCCCAAATAGCAAAGAAAAATTAAAAATGCATGCCATGAAAGAGTTTGGGTCTTAGGAGGTTAATGGCATGATCTATTTTCTCTTTGCCACGACTGTATAATAACTCCACTGCAGAGTGGTAAGAATTTGCCCCTGGATGCATTTTGCTCTGGTTCACTTTGTTCTCACCAAACAATAAAAAAAAAAAAGAAGCCACACACAGTGGGAGTGTTTCACTGAGACAGAGTACAGCTTTATTAAAGTCAAACTTCAGGCATGTCTGAACTCTTCAAACTCAACTTTCGAATGAAAAAGGACAGAATCAATATCCTCAAATAAAAAGACAGTCATGTACAAAAAGAGTGTCGTCTCAACAGTCACACACATTTAGAAGCAGAATTTTACAGGCAAAAAGAGCACGCCACAGTAACAAGATCCTATGCAAGTTCAATGCAAACTATTTACAAGTTCTTCAACAATAATGTAGTATGCAGTAACACAGGTTGAACAGTAATTAACATGGTACTTTGTGTTCATCCACTTTTTAATTGAAGCAACACCAAGAGAGATAGATATGACCCCAGTTAGAGTTACTGTAAGCAATTTTACTACAAGTAAAAAGAGATCATGAGTGCTTATGAAGGTGAATTTATTTATTTATTCCAACACTATTTGACAGCATGTTAATAAAAAACAAAAAAACAAAAAGTCGGCAACATTGCACAAAACATAAAAGACATCACAGTGAACTGAAACATGCCCTTTGACACAGAGAAAGGGGGTGGAAAACAAATAAAATCAAATCCTCCTTAGGCGTATTTAAGGGCCACTTAAATGAGAGCAAACATGCTGTCTCTTCAAACCAAAACATACACACCAGACAGTTTCTGAAGTAACTCAGATGGACACTTAAATAATACTGCTGCTTTGTCAGGCAGGAGGGCTGGGAGAGGACAAACTGGCACAAAAAAATGAGCGCTATCATGCGATCTGCAGGTGCGAAGGAAAATAAAGGCCGTTCGGTTTTGCAGAATCTCTGTGCAATACAATTTAAAAAAAAAAAACAAAAAACAACCAACCAAAAAAAAAAACAAAAAACAACCAAACAAAAAAACATTGGCAATAAGTCGTTGTCTGGAAGCATGCAGTTCAGCTAAGCAACAGAAAAAAGAAAGAAGCTTTAAGACAAGTTTTATCATCACAAATGATCGCTTTTGTTTAAGCAGATAACACGAGTCAGGGATGCCTACGGTTCGATAATCATACACGTACGAAACCTGTGCTAAAAAAAACCCAAACCTACGCAAACAAACAGTACTTCAATAAATTAAAAAAAAGAAAGAAACTAAAGTTTAGACGCACAGACCTTTTGGAGTACACAAATAGGTGCTTTAGTCATGGACCTACTTGATTATCAAGGAATACAGTTGTAAAAAGAAAAGAAAAACTAGAAGTGCTTAATTGCATTAAAAAACAAAACAAATACAACTTTTTTCGCTTCCAGGAATCCCAACTTAAAAAAGGCTTCCTGAAAGGCACAAAACAACAGGAATTATAGGAAAGAAACTGCCGAATGCAGAAAAGAGAGAGACTTTAACTTGAGGGGGGCAAAAAGTTCAAAGTTCAAGCTTTTCTATGCATTTCTGAATGCACATCAGTCAATTAAAACAGAAGTCTGACCCCAAAATGTTCATTTCCCCGTGGTCAAATTAAATCTGACTTTAACGTCCCCGTTTTCACAAATATCTGTGGTCGGACATTAAAAAAGTCAGGTGATTATCACAGCGAGTGAGTAGGCATCGAGTGTCCTGCCTCAAACTTTGCCTAAAACTAATCAGGTCTTGTGTTGCGTGCCACAAGCGAGAATCAGTGAGAATCAGTGTCCAGAGGTCGTTCAAGGCCTCACGCTTAAACTGAAATCCTGTAGCGCACAGAAACCGGACTTGTGCATATTAACATAATTGGTCAATGAACGGTGAGTATTTTCAAACAACTAAAACACGTCTAGTACGTCTTATTTTTCTGCATTCGGAGGCTTTTATTCTTTCTCCCTCATGATTTACAGCCAGCTGCCAGTTTATTAGGTAAAACCAACAACAACCCACACTGCTATCAGGCCTGAAATAAAATTTTATAGAAAGCTATAATGCTCAGCTTTTGTTTTTAGAGGTGACAAATTTTTTAGAGCAGGGTGTCAAACAAAAGGCCCGGGGGCCAGAACTGGCCTGGCAAAGACACCAATCTGGCCAGCTTTGGAAATATTGAGCGGATAAACTTTTGGACTTTTAACTGTATTTTTACAGTTACTAAGTATCAAAGTGGGCTGCATGTGGCCTTTGACGTATAATAAGTTTGACACCCCTGTTTTAGAGGCCGGAGAATAAAACTGTCCATTTAGAAGCTGTAGCGTAACAAGAGGCTGGATACAATCCCAGCT